TTTTTTATAGTTTTATTTAAAAAATAATAATTTAACTTCTGTTTGAACATGCCATATAAAGTTACGATTTTAAATCATTCAAATATGAAATTCATAATTTTAAATCTTACATATATGATAATCAATATGGAGTTATGATTTTAAAACATTCAAATATGAAGCTCATAATTTTAAATTTTTCACAAAAAAGACTTATGCGAAGAAGTTATTTATACACATAAAATGATGGTCAAACAGACTATAAATTTAACCATTAAAATTTTTTAGAAGGAAACGAAAACACGCTTAATAAACTTACAAGATTAAAACTACTTAGTAAAATATAAGTATCTAACAAATTATTTAAGACTTCATCACTTAAGTGAGAATTTTTACTAAAAAGACTTAAAAATATAAAAATAAATACATAAAAAATTTAAAGAATTTAATATTTTACTATAGATATATAAAATAAAATTTAACTTCATATATATATTATATATAATTTTTGGTTAAAAATGATTCAAATGAAACCTTGCTCCGACTTGACTCTTCTGCGATTTTTCTAATTTCCCATCCAGTATTTAGTAAATATATTGGAGCCCGACTAAATTTAGATTCTTGCCGAAAAATCTTACATTGACATAAAACACTTTTTAATAAAGACAATTTTATACCCTGAAAAACTCAAACTCAAAATATCTGATTAAAGGTGAAAATATACTTACGATTCCATCACAACTTTCATCGGTGATCCTACGACACTTGATATTATGTAGCATTTATTCAACATATCTACTCCGTCTCTAGATAAGAGTGAACTACATCACGTTACAAAGTACTATTGACTTGTACAAAAGAAAAATAATGATTTTTTTGTTGACTTGGGAAGTCACGTTTACTTTTTCAATATTTTTAAAAGTACGATAGTAGATGAAAAACTTTATTTTATATCTCATATAATCGATACTATTAATTATGTGAAGTTTCTTTTTTGTCTTACGTCTAAAAGATATATTTAGTACTCTTCCGTCTATTTTTATTTATTATATTGCACTTTTTAAAAATAAATTTGACTAATTTTTAAAGTTAAATTAAATTATATTAATTCGATATTTAAAACAAAAAGTTAAAATATTCAAAAATTATACGAAAAATACTATAAATTACAATTTTTCGCATATCAATATGATGAAAAAATATATCGTAAAATGTTAGTCAAAGTTCATATAATTTGACTCTAAAAAAGGAAACATGACAATTAAAAGTGGACAGAGGTAGTATCAATAGATTTTTTTGTGGCGATGATACAATTGAGTTAGTATTATTATATTCGGAGTCGCTGTGTAGAATATTGTTGGTTATAAATATATGAAAATATTATATTATTGTTGTTAAATATAATATAGATAAGCTGATAATTATATTATTACCGCTAAATTCTTATTTGTTGTAGTGTTAAGATATAAGAAGTCTCATAAATAATTTACTTCTCAAAAAGTGTATTTCTTATTAGAACTTGGAAGAATTTAGAAATAATAAGATGGTGTTCGAAAACAAAGATTAGCAACTATTTACTCTCATGATTATTAACTATTAATTATTATAAACTATTTTTACCCTAAGAAATCCGACAATTTGATTTTTAGAACCAAGACCCTTTTCTCATTATTATTTTTTTAATTTATAAAAAATGATAACGAATCTGCTTATACATAACTTAACTATTTCATCATGTACTTAATTACTATTTTTCTATCATCACATGTAAAATTTTCAAGATCAAAATCAATTTTAAAATAAAATAAAGAAATATTTCAAAAAAATAAGTAATTCTCAAATCAAATGTCCTTAGTATTTTGGTCCCGTGTATTATATATGCGTGTTAAAAGAGTGTAAAGAGTGATTACATGCATGCATGTCAATAAAAGCATATATAGTGAAAAGATTTTTCTTTTCTTATTCGGCATTCGATATTCACATTAAAGTTTAACTAAAACTGGATTCGTATTAGGAAGTTTCATATTGGGGGATAAAGCGCTCCCTAACAAAAGCGACTTCATATTCATGGAGGCTCAAACACAAAACGTTTGGTTAACAATAAAAGAATAATTACGACTCCACCACGACCTTGTTAATTGTTATATAGTGAAAGTTATTGTAAAGTAAGATGGTCCGTGACTTCTTTTTTTTGAACTAATAAATAATTTATGACAAGGTCCATCATATATCATCATAAAATCTTTTGCCTTTCTCATGATTTTTGAGTTGAATTAATATCCACTTTGACTTTTGCGCATACTCAAATAAATTATGGCCTGAAGAAAGCTTTGAATTAGATGAGTTTGTTAAGGGGGTGTTCGGAAGGATTTCTTAATTTTTTCATGTTCAGTTCGTTAGATTTTGAAAATTATTTTTTTTAGAATTTATATTTTTAATAAAGATAGGAAAAATAAATTTTATAAATGATATTCTACGTCAATTATATTTTCGCCGTCCTCTAACACATCCTATCTTCATCCTCGTCCCCACTACCCCACACTTGTCATACCCCCAAGCCTAGCCTAAAGTAGGTGTGTTGATAACGCTATTGTTGGTTTATTTTAAATATTTCAGTATTTTGGGTATGTCACGAAGACATATATATTTAATTTTTAAAAAAAACTTCATATCTAATTATATAACATTACATAAATTAAGATAGAAGAAACTTATTTTCACCGATACAACTAAAACTTGACATTATATGGTTAAAACTAGGAAAAATTATGCAGAATAACAAACATTCAACCTATATTAGGTACTATAATTACAGTATAAAAAAATTGTAATTCACTGCTATAGTTTTCCCACTTTTTGCTATTCGCCTGATTTGTATAATTCGGCTCCTGATTGTATAAATCCAGAATTTTATATATGCTTATCATAGCTATTTATATACGATTTATGAAAATTCATAATAAATTACCCTATTTGTATATCGGCTAGCGAAATATACAAACGGAGTTCTCAAAATACATCCACCCCTTAAAAAAATATCAATTAAAAGGAATGTTTAACTATTTTACATTTATTTATATCGTAAGATAGTAATTTGTATTTATTCTATTTTTATATATACACTACAATAGAGATGTTTATATTTATATTTATGAGAGGTGACCCTACTTCCTTCCACTTGTGATAAAAGATAAAGAAAACAGATAAGAATGTTTTGTCTTCTAACCACTTGTAAACACCAACAAATCAAATTCCTCCTCTCCAACGTCACGGGACACAATTTGCATCTATTTCCATGCACCCCACGAGCTACATCTCACTCCCATCTTTCTTAACTTATTGATGTGTCTGTTTCGTTTTAATTTATGTGATATTATTTTAAAAAATAATACATAAATTGAGACAGAGAGAATACTATATATTTAACGAAAAGAGCTAAAGTATAATGTAGGCTGATCATGATTATGTAACTAGATATTTATACTTAATTGTATAATTTGACATCTTTGAGTAAGTTTATAGGAGATTAAGTATACAATACATGATACAAAAGTATAATAATGACAAAATATAATTGAATACATTAATACAAATCTATAGCCAGTTGCATATTCACTCAAATATCTTGATACTGAGTGAATACACAAGGAATAAATATACTTGACACAATTGTATTTGTTGGTACAGATCAATTGAATTTGTGAAACAACCTAATATAACAAATACAATATGTATTCATCACCTTTGTCTCACCTTTCTCCCAAATTTCACTCGCTCCTCTCGTTTCCTTTTTTAATCTTGCTAGAGTCTCTCCTCCTTCTAACATACAACTATAAATTGTAATAAAGTAAACTATGACTATAGATTAATTAAGTTCAAACTATCGTCATTTTTGAAATCTTTCTATATGATTAGCTATTCCATTATTAATCTTTCTATATGATTAGCTATTCCATTATTATAGTACAAATAATAAGATAAATATTCTCCAAATTAACTAATACCCCTAGCCAAACATAGGACAGATTGTAGAAATTTATTAAACAAGATTATTATTTTTTAGTTTCTTTAGTCCTATAACTTAAATACAACAATAGAAAAATCTCATTTATCCAATCATAGTAAAAACCTATCCATATAAAAGTGATTACGCCAAATCAATAAAGACATGTCATATGCAACACACAATGGATAACTCAAAAACAAAAAGTTGCTTTCTCTTTTTTCCAGTAATCACAAACTCACTATCACACACAAATCAAAAAACAGTGTCCAAACCGTATATACCCAATGCCATAGACCCCACCAACTAGACTTTCTTTATTCTTAATTAAAGATTTCAAGTTTGAGTTTCTCGGAGGTATAGATCATCTTATATTTTACCTCAATGTAAAATTTCTTGTCAAAAATTTGAATTTAGTTGAACTACAATACAATATTGGACACCAAATAAAAAGCCAAAAAGAAAAATGTCATGAACCCCCCTCCACCCCCACCGCCACCCCTCCCCCTCAATATGTGCACATATATAATACTACTACTCCATATATAGAGAACTTTTTCAAAATAAGAAAGTACTCATTCATTCTTAATCTGAAGTCTTAGCATCAAGTCCTTTTGAGTATAAAGTCATCTTTTTTATCTTTGATTTCTCACCCGGTGTTCGGAGTCCACGTTAGAGCTCTGACTAAATTCGGATCGCGCACTGCAGGGCCCATTCGGGGGTGACACTCCCAATAGGATTTTCTCTATACCCAGGGCTTGAACTCGAAACCTCTGATTAAGGGTGAAACACTCCCACCAGTGCACCACAACCCATGTTGGTTAAAGTCACCTTTTTTAGAGAACATTTTATTCTCAATGTGAAACTTTTTTACCCGAATTTGGATTTAGTCGGACTCCAACGTGAATATCAAACTAAATGAAAAACCAAAAAAAAAATGGCATAACCACCCTCCGCCGCCCCACCCCTTTCCTGCTCAGATATATACATGTGTGTGCATATATAAAAATACACTACTACTCCATATATAGAGACTCACACAAACACCTTCACTACAAAATTTTCACTTACGGAGACATAAACACAAACACCTTCACTGCAATTCTCAAAATACTGCAAAATGACGAAACAAGATGAAGGATTAACATTAGAACTCATACGACAACATCTCCTCGAAGATTTCACAACTACAGAATCATTCATCAACAGTCTCAATTCTTGTTTTTCCGATCAAATCTCCTCCTCCGACGACATATCCCCTGTTTTCACTTCAGTAAAAACAGAGCCATCTACATCCAATTCCCTCTCAGATTCACCCAATTCCTCATACCCAAATGAACCCAACTCCCCAATTTCCCGTTACTTCAATCTCCACTCTGATTTCCCCGAATTCAAAATCGATTCAGATACCATCCTCAGTCCAGTTTCCGACAGCTCCGCCGGTTCTAATGAAGACAATAATAAGAAGAAGAATTACAGAGGGGTAAGGAGAAGGCCATGGGGGAAATTTGCGGCGGAGATAAGAGATCCAAGTAGAAAAGGATCGAGGATTTGGTTGGGTACTTTTGATACTGATATGGATGCTGCTAGAGCTTATGATTGTGCAGCGTTTAAGATGAGAGGAAGAAAAGCTATTCTGAATTTTCCGTTGGATGCCGGAAAATCTGGTGCTCCGGCGAATATTGGCCGGAAAAGGAGAAGAGAGAACAAGATGGAGTTGGTGGAGATGATTAATTTGTAATTTGTATGAAAGTATGTTAATTACTTACTTAATCCTCTTTAAGTGATGTATTAAACTCCATTACATTATAATTAATAGAGTTTTTTTTCCAACATATTATTAAAATATAATAAAAAATATCATACTATAATGTAAATTTTGATTAACAAATTTGAATTCTTAAACTAAATAATGTGGATAGTGGAAGCACTACGTATATTGTTTTAATTTGAGAAGTCTCAAAATGTGTTTATGTCATCATGTTAAGTTGGTCGAGAGTATAAAGTATGTGCAAATCTTGTTATTATTTTGGAGATATAGAAATTGTTTTCGATAGATTTCCAGTAGAAGAAAAATACAAATTAAAGTAATATATAAAAAGAAATACGAAAATGGAAAAAGTTCTGGCAAAATACTAGACATGGTCATAATAAGATAAAACAACAATAGAAGTGTAAGAAAATCCCATAAATAATAACCAAATTTAAAGAGCAAGAAATTAGTAATACGTCTAATATTATAGAAGAATGAGTGTGACAACACTAAACTATCTAACTAACTAACTAACTTTTTAGCCTAATCTACGATCTTCATAACTTCTCATGTAAAATCATGTAACTTGACATAAATATTTCATAGTAAGATATTTTCCTCCGCACCGAATACCCTGTGTGTATTCAACTGTTTATAATTAGTCCTCCATCAATCTTCTACACTATTTAGTAAAAAACACTTATCTTCGAGTTATTTTTAAGTAATTTGGTAAAAACATCCAAAGTTAAAGGACATAAATGTGAGATGAAGCCAAGTTAAAAAAACATATTTATATATTTATACCTAATTTAAACTACACATTATTTCAAACAATGTTGTATAAATTGGAACAAAGTGCACCAGAGAATCCAGAGCATAACCTATTATTGAGAAAATGATCAAAATGGTCCTTAATGTATAAGGGTTAAATTATTTTGATCCTCTATATATATCATCTTATCTAAATAGTACTTTTATGTATACAAAATCATGATCATTTTAATCCTTAACCCTAAAACTAACCAAAAAGATTAAAAAAAGCTGTTAACTTTAACAGTGGATCCCTTGGAATTGAGACCTTTCTTCCTCAATCTGCTCTTTCACCATTACCACAAGCACACCCTTTTCCTTAACTTTTTTCTTTCACCATTTGAGGTCCGCTCCATATACACTACACCCATTTCTCATCTCCCTCTAAAAATTATATTTACATACATAATAAGAAGAAGAAAATCAAGATTATCAAAACAAATGAGAATTAAGTAAATTGGATAAAAGTCTCTATTTTCCCTTCGAGGAGATTGCCATAAATAAACTCTTTTTAAGTTATAACTAGTTATTCTCTCTTATTAAAGTGATCTATAAAGGATATAACTATCTCTTCGTTTTAACTTTTTCAAAATTAGTAAGTTTTACAAGCATTGTTTTTTCATTCTATTTTTAAAATAAAAGGGTAAAAATTGAACACAGAGATATAAAATAAAAATCTAACAAATGTTCAATTAAAATATAAAGAAACTTTTGTAAGTATGAGAAGATTTTTGGCAGTGAAAATTGTAAAAGAAATGGCAACAGAAAGAAGAAGGAGAAGAAATGACGGAAAATGATGATGGAGGAAGAAGGGTTCACCAAGTGTGGGACCCACAATTAAGTTTAACAGTTTTTTTATTCTTTTCTGTTAATTTTTAGGGCTGGGATCAAAATGATACTCTTTTAGTATACATTAAGAATTATTTGGATAAGATGAAATATATAAAGGACCAAGATAATTCAACCCCCTATACATAAAAGACTATTTTGATCATTTTCTCATCTATTATTCACGGGAATCTATTAGCTTTATCCGGTTCATGTCTATATATACAGAAATATGCTAAATATCTATAATGAATCTGCCAATGAACTCAACTATTATTATTATTATTATTATTATTATTATTATTATTATTATTATTATTATTATATCTTAGATCGTTATATAAAATCTCTAACTTCAAATTCTGAATCCGCTCTACCGATAAGTAAGATGGGACAAGCAACACACAAACAAAGAATAACTTCACACTTGTACAAACCAAATAGAGGACCATTTTCCATATGCTTGAAGTTAAAGGACTAATTGGACCCCAAAAAATTGGTTCATGCATTACTACTATATATTGACAACAGTCTGAGGCACACAGACAATGACAAGTTTATAGATCACAACATAGTACAGTATATAAATAGTAATGTATATAGACAAATTTTACAAATCTATGAAAACTTTATTTCACAAAAATCTACTAGGGATATTTAACTCTACTTAGTGTGCTACTTGCTAAGGGGACCCTTGCACTACCCCCTTTTAATAACTAGTTGCTAAGCTTTTGTCTCAACATCCCTAACATGGACCACATGCAATTATTTGTTGGTTAAAATCATCAATGTCACTATCAATGGGCATCACATAATTGTGCCATTGCTCAAGATTGAGATCATCTTCCACTTGAACTATATGGGTTGTTTGGTTCTCGAATTAAGTTATTTTAAGATTATAATCTTTGAATTAACTTATCTCATTTCGAAATCGAGATAAAATAATACAAGCGGGAAAGACATTCATTATTCAGGATTAAGTTTGAAATTAATTTTATTATAAAATATCTCATCTTATCCTATGAACCAGACGTCGAGATAGAGTTTATTGGATATTTTCAAGCATTTATTGGACATATATCAAGTGGAAGCAGCCGCAAAAATCCAAAAGGCCCATAACTTTCATACTAGGGCCAAGGGAGACCTACATGTGTCTCACACATCCAGAAGCTTTTAATAAGTTAAATTTTATCTTATCCTATATATATAAATTTATTTTATTTTTATATAACAACTTTCCAATGTACTTTACATAGTATTACTTTCGTAGGTGCGACTTTAACAATGCTTCAAAAGTTAGAAGTCGGCGTGATATATAAGGTATAATAATTTTTAAAACGAAATGTAAATTTATTTTATTTATTAGATAGTCTTTAAATTATTTATCCCACCATAAATACAGTATGATAAGCTAATTTATTCCTAACCAAACAACTTAATGTGTTTAAATTTATTGACCACTTATAAAATGCATAAAATAATATTTTTAAAAATCCCCTTATAAAAAGAATATAAAACTAAAAAGAATTATAAATAGGCTACAAAACTAATTCTCTCCTATCTTACCAACAAAAAAACATACAAAAATCGTCCATGTAAATAAACGTCTTCCTTCATTACCTATGAGGTCAACAACATACTCCCATATATGGGGGCAAATCTACCATAGATTCAGTTGAATTCAGTAGTGTCGAGTCAAATATTATTTGTGTTAAAAAGATAGTCTAAATAAATACAAACTTGTGTAAGGGCGGAGCCACTATTACAATTATTGAAAATTGTATGATTATCTTTGAAATTCTCCTGTTAAGTATGTAAAGAACAAGTATCCACAAACCACAATTGGATAAAAACTTATTCTCATGATTTTTATATTGCTAAATCATTACGAGTTTAAGTTCTATAAATTAATGAGTAAAAAAGAATCACAATTGTAGAGTAAGTATTGTGAAAATATTTAATATTATTTCTCAAAAGCCATGATAGACGTTTGTTGTTTACTAGATTAATCCATATTATTAAAATTTAGTGGGACCGTACATGGTGTGTTCAATTTTAATTAGGATTTTGGAGGCTAGTCAACCTAAACCCTAGTTCATGCCTATATAAAGGGTATTATATTCATAGACATCTTGAATATTCCACAAATTAATGAAATATTCATAAGGAGATCAAATCCAATTCATCTTAGTTCAAGAAATACGCCACTAACGATCCTCGAATCATGGAGAGATCATGATGGAGAGAGACCCTCGAATCATGGAGAGATCTTATCACGAGAGAAGAATCAAGGAATTGATAGGATTGTATACCCACACTATTTATCAATAAAATTATGTTTTTTTCATATTTTATTTGTGATTGCAATTTATTTTCTATCACTTTAAAATTTATTGCAAACAAACACACGAAGAAGCCAAGAAATTCAACATCTACTGTTATATACATAAAAAGTAATGTAGGCAGTCAAGCATTTTCTTAGTATTATATCATATTTATATAGTCTTTGACTTAGTGGTAGTCTAAAGCACCATACCCGTTGTAGTATTAGTCTATTCATATAGTATACTCCCTCCGTTTCATTTTATGTGGCAATATTTGACCGAATACGGAGTTTAAGAAATAAATGAAGACTTTGAAATATTTACCAAATTGCCCTTTAAAAAGTAGACTCACTTTTCTCTCTCCTCATAATGTATTGGAGTATTATTTTAAGATTAAGTGGGACCAATAAGGGTAAAAGAGGAATTGTATCTTTAAATACTTACCATATAAGGAAACGTGACTTTCTTTTTGAAACTGACCAAAAAAGAAATGATGCCACATAAATGGGACTGAGGGAGTATTTGATTTTTGGTATTTGTTATTATCTGTTGTTTGCTATTTAGGTGATCACACCTTGTTGATGCTATGAGTCCTTGCATATATACTCCCACAGTGCTTTCCTATGAGTTGTCATGTTTTTCTTCACAATAATTTTCCCTTTCTATTACTACTTTGATTTGCTTCACTAGATCCAAGTTCTTTTGAAAACAACCTCTGCCTCTAACAAATAGAAGCTAAAAGTAAGGTTTGCGTACACTGAACCCTCTCCAAACTCCACTTTTTAGAATTTCACTGGATATGTTAGTGGTGATATCCATCGACTTTCCGATTTAGCAGTATTTTCCAAGTCAATAGTCTTGAATGGGAAGGGTGATATGTGATCATTCATTGGGAGATGGAGTCAAACTTTCAGTACACAAGAAAATTGAAAATTTTATGGCTAAATTCACACCGAACATTAGTTAGTTTAACCGTACTCTAAATCAAAAGCAAGTTAAAACAGAGAAAGTAGTATATATCATTGGTGAATGGAACTGTGACCATGTACACTATGGCACAATGAGTTAATAACGTTCCTAATAATGACTTATTGTCTATACCAATTCATAGAAGAACCTAACCTGCAAAGCTCGGTGACGAATCCAAGATTTGAAATTTGTAAGTTCCTATAACAAACTCAAGTTAATACTATAATAATAAATGTTACACACTCATATTGTAGATATTTAACAATTTTTTTAATATATACATATATATAGAGAGAGTTTGGACAAAAAATACTAGGTTCGTTAAACCCTCTAGATATGCCCCTCCCTGCAACCATAGATGAAAAAATCAACTTACTTTTCCAGCATTTCACAACAAGCCTCCAAATGCAAAATAATTTAGAAGTCTAGGATAAAAAAGGAAATAAGAGAGATTAACATGCAAATCATTGATCACCTTGAAAATTTCAAATTTGATTTTGGCCTCTATACGATAAAATTATCAACCATATGTTGTATAACATCAGCACCTTCGGCATCTATTTTTTGATCCTTCACCTGTAAGCATAAGTATTGCAGTTTAAAGCCCACATTACATGTAAGTAAGGACGAAAACGTGAAAATGCTTTGGAAAGGGTTCAAATGTGCCGTTTAAGTATTTGAAATTGAGCAGATACCCTTCGTTAATAGTTTAGCTCACATATACCTTTACAGTTCAATAGTTGATAAAAAATACTTATGTCCTTAATGTAACTTGATCCCCTAATTAGCTAATTAATAAGCAAAGAGGGGCCATCAGTTCCCTTGGAAAGTTGAAGGCTGAAATTTTGCGCGATAGCTCTATATCGGATATTAACACCAGAGTCATGCCGCACAAACTTCATTTACTCTTATGTACTTTTAATGAAATTTAGCTACAGCGTTTATTGAGTGTGACAAATTACATTTAGTTACAGGGTTTATGAAGTAAATGGGAAACTGCATCAAGTTACAGGGTTTATTAAGTGAATGACAGACTGCATCTAGTCACGGTGTATAAAGTGAGTGAAATATTCAACCCCAGGGAAGAAGAAAACAGGATGAGAAAATACAGAGGAGAGAAAATCGAAGAGAGTGAGAAAAGTTGGAACTTCAGTGTTTTGTTAAAAAGAAAAACGGAAGCATACATTCGATTTGTCCTTGTTTGGGGAGACAAACTGTAAACCCGAGGAAGGTATACTCCTCGTTTTTTACTTTCACCATCTTTTCAACTATTACGTACGGAAATGGACAGGAATATTATAAACTCTCTTCCTTTCAAATCCTTCCTCTCCTTTCTAAACGGCCTATACGATCAATAATACAGAACATCAAAGTCCACTCACCAGTACCCCGCCTATCCCATTTCAGGAATTTTCACGAAGGGGGTTCAAAATCTGCTGTATATACATAAAAATAATTTTAACCGTGTATAAGCAGTGTAATTTTCTTACCCTGCTCCACCCCTGCCCACATTGCATTTCAGCACCTACAAGAATTACTTTTATTTACTGCTTCAAATTGTACTCCCTCTGTCCCATTTTATGTGACAGTTTTTGACTGTGTAGGGAGTTTAACAACGAAAGAAAGACTTTTGAAACATGTGGTTTAAAACAAGCCATAGACATTTTCTGACTTATAAATCAATCTCATTAAGTTATATAGTTTCTAAAGACATAAAGCTGTCCTCTTTTTTTTGGGACAAACTAAAAACGAAAGTGTGTTAATAATGCTTTCCTCCTAGCTGGCTTATAAAGTGGACTAAATGAATGAATAGTGTAAAATATATCAAACGCTACAAGGGTGTCAATATCATACACTAGCTCTCCCCACCATTGCTACCACCACCACAACCACTAGGGCTGTCATAATGTTCTCATTTTTTAGCACCACATACTCCACTATGTTATCTACATGTCTAAAGTGGCAATGTCATAGACTAGCTCTCCGACTGTTGCTACCAGCACCCCAGCCACTTGGGCTATAATGATATTCTCATTTTTTAGCACCAGGCACTCCTCCACTATATCATCTATATGTCTAAAGTGGCAAAGTGGTCCAGAAAGAGACATGGTTCAAGCCAAAATCTCACTTTTCTAGTAATCCAAGGTCAAATAGTGCAATACACAAGATGTATGCAAGAGAGTTAGGAAAGAAGGAAATGGAATAGTAATACCCCTGCTTCAAAAACACAAATTGGGGTCAATGCAGTTTCTCGCCAAAATTAAAACTCAAATTGGGGTCAATGCAGTTTCTCACCAAAACTAAAACTTTGTTCAATCTGCATAACTAGTTAATATTTTTTCTAACTAATTCTTGAGGCTATAAAATAGGCAAGCACCAGGATACAACACATGAACACACAGGACAAAGACATAAGTCTCATAGGTACTTTTTCAGTCGTAAATCTGTGAGGTAGATGAATGAAAGTTATCTTCTACTCATTAAACAAAATAGTGTACAGTTCATACTTCCATCAATGTAATTAAATGAAACTTGACTGTGGTTCAAGGAGACCACTAAAATATCTAAAAATGCTCTGGGCAATCACGTTGGTAATTATCAGTAGTCAGGAAAGAGAATAAGAGACCTGAATAACAGTGTGAGCAGCAAATCTACGCCTGCTCCTGTGAAAGCTAACGTCCACTTTATCCCATGACACTCTAGATAAACCAGTCACCAAATTTTCTGCATAAGAGTCCAAACATGAGAACTGAAATATTTAGAAGCCAAGAAAGGCTATACACACATACATACAATACAAAGGGAAAAAAATCAGAATTTAGTGGACCAAAACAAAATAATAATCACTCAAACCAAAGAGCTCAGGGCAAGTTTGAAAACCTTGCTATGTTTGAAAAGGTTGAGGCCTGTCTTACATGTATTTGTTTAGGGGCAACATGTTCAATACACATGATGTAAGTATTTGTATGACTGCATGGAGCTTTTTATTCACAGTTTTTAGTGTATTTTGATGAAATACTCACACCCAAGGTACACCTGTTTCCCTTCGACACAGATTTGATAAAGGAAAATGAAGGATCCATGTGACACAGAGGAGGGCTACATACCATCTCTGTTTTACAAGCTTAATGCTCCCTCCATTCCAAATTATTTAGTTTGTTTAAGAAAGAATGCCACTTTTATGTATTTAGCAAGTCTTTATTTCTAACACTCCCATTTTACCTTAATGACACTCCCTTATAGGAATGACGAGGCATGTTTAAAACCACAAGATTCAAAGGGTAATTTGGTATGTTATGCACACCCTTTAGTTAATGCCCAAAAGTTCAAAAGTCTTCCTTTTGTATTCTTAAACTTCGTGCCATATTCAAACTAAGATGAATTAAACGAAATCGCCGAGTGGCATAATATTTTAGGATCAACACATTGGTTATTTCTTGTAACAGTGGTATGTACTAGAAAACCATTCCAAAATTAAAGTCAGTCATACATGCATGTACAAGAGAGCAGCATTACAAAATATATCAAAGGCCCCAGAAGGGGAGAGGAGGATGGAACTAAAAGAACCAAAAAATGGTGTGACCTAAACCCAACTTCTTTTCATAAGGAAAGAGCAACAAACCTTCCAACTTGTCCAAAGAATCATCCTCCTTCAAAACAGACTCACCCTGCTCACCCTCACATGCCTTGCAATGTTCTTCATAGACAATGTGAGGATACTTCTCATTAAAGGAGTCTTCCCACTATAAACACCAAAACAGTTTTTCACATAAGATCTGATAGGTGGCAGCTAAAATACATACCACAGAAAGATTGTACCTTGGGTAGTTCATTATTACGTCTAATAGATGACGTTCTCCAACCAACAACATCTAAAGAATTATTGTTAAAGAAAAATGGTCTATTTCAGAAGTTAGAGTATCAAAATTGCTGAATGCCTGATTCAACAATGCAATAAGGATACGATCATAGCCAACATTTGAATATGCAACTCGGCGCTTGAATGAACGCAACGCAGACCTACATACATGAATTTTCAACTAATCAGCATCAATATACAGTAATATTTACTACAGAGCCCAGTAAACACAGGACCAATCAATCCTATATGTAATTTATTAATCTCTATAACATACAAGAACTGTAGTTCACCATCGTCTTCCACCATGCGTTTAAGTAATGGAGGCCTCCCTTCATCATTATCGCAAAGAAAAAGGTGCCTCCCTGTTCTTTTAAATATTAAATGGATTACATGGAAAGCAGCTTTCTCTAAGGCAGTTAGACCAAAAAGAAACGGCACCTGACAAAATATTACCAAAAGGTTCAACAGCTGACATAGCATATTTTATATTTTAGATAAGGAAGAAACCTCGAAATCTTAAAATATGAACACACTTGAGAAAACAGGAACAATGCACTTTGACATATATCTAGATATAGCAACAAATAGAATATGTTAAAGATTGGCAATCACCTCGATCCTTCCAAATAGTTTGATAAGAGAGCATATTTCCACGGTCATGCAGCATTAATCTGGGATCAAATTCTATGTACGTCTAACCACTATACTTCCAAAAAACTCATTCTAAGCTATAGCTAAGTAAGACAAACAGAATAAGTCCAATGCAGAACCGTCACTGATTTGCGGTTCTTAAAGAAGTTGAGCTGTGGAAGAACAATGTTTATTACCAGAAAGTGCCAAGGTTAAAGAGTAAAGATCTTTTACGCTTCCAGAAACTCAGAAAACCCAAACCTAAATCACAACGTACAGAGAGAGCCAGAGACCATTATGACAAGATCAAAGAGGTTTGTCAGTATGCAGATATATGATATAATAAAATATGGCTGGATTAAAAGATTCATATTGGGCAGCATTTAGCACACTTGGACTAGTTCAACTTTAAAGTAGATAAAACTATTCATGGATGGAGTTTGGATAAAGGTCTGTACTCCCAGTACATAAGCAGGCAAAAAGACTTTCTGGCACCCTCAATGTAAATTGGAAGAAGGGCACTCTTTTGCTACTCTTCTGCCTCCTTCACTCATGTGCCCCTCCAATGCTACTTCACCTGCCTTTGTCAAGTTTGTCTTCAACCCCCCACCAATGAAAAATTGAAGCTCCCTCTAACCAGGCACAAATGCTCTCCCCCAACCTCTCTCTTGGACTCCCCGAACCTTGCATCAATTGATCCCTCCACCCATGAGTCTATTTCCCCCAACATCCTAACACACATCATCTCCTTTCACCCACCTTAACCCCACTTTGATCTCCTTTAACTGGCTCCTCCACATATCAGACGCTCTTCTTCACCCTGGCCATTTTTTCTACTTTGCTGCATTTTATTTGGTCTTTGTTGCTGTAGACCAAAAGTCTCCTTCATTGCAGTAACTTCTCCGAATATCAATACTTTTGCATGAAGATTGCATCGGAAATGAAAGTAGATGGTCTAGAAAAGCTAGTCATGATTTTGAAATTAAAACCACTACTTCATTTTCTTTCAGAAACCAGTACAAGATAATTGACAAAAGAAGCTGAAAAAAATTAAATGTGTATCAAGGGTATTTAGTGATAAATACTATTCTTAACTAGACTTGATAAACAGGAGGATACCCCATCAAGAATCATGATAAGGTAATGGATAGCAATCCAATCTGAAAGGAAGTTATATTGGCATGCCAGATGACCCTTAAAACTAACTAAACCCGGTCTATAGAAGCATCAAAATGTGGAGGTGTGAATCTATATCTTCTGCTCATAAGCATCATTTACCGATAACGAGACAAAGGCATATTTAAAGAGGATAAAAATCCATTTTCCTCAATCACAACTATTTTAAGTATTTGATAAGATTTGAATAATAGCGCTGGTACCTGCTTGTTACCCCTAGAACCAAGATGAGGTGTGGCAACAGTGACAAAATTAACAGGTTCCAAACCAGCTATCGTGCAATCCTTCAACCCTTCTGCACATGCATTGGCTGATAAATCCTCAGTATTCTCTATTCTAGGAGGTCTGTATAACCTCCCAATGGCATATCTTGCCACCAACCCTCCAACAGAGTGTGAGACAAAAGAAATTTTCTTCAGACCTGGTTTTCTCTTGATCACTTCAAGAACCTAATTCCATCTCCACATCGTTAGTAGATTTGGTAGACATACCAAGATTTGGAGAACATATTAGAAAAATGATAGGACGGAAATGAAAAGAAGCAACAAAGAAGAATGAATAGTATTAGAAGAAATTAACCTCCTCTGACAATCTCTCACCCATTACATCCACACCATCCAATGTTAGTTTTCCAATATTACGTTCGCTACCTGCAGAGAAAATCATTTTCTTTAGTCCTCCTTTTGGTATTCCATTTTTCTGTGCACTTATAACCAATAACCATAGGATAGTGGACGCATGTGGACACTCAAGAAGAGAGATGCTACAAAAGTACAAATGTCCATACAATCTTGTGAGTAGCTCATTAGCACTCAGCTCAAATGAAACTATGCAAAATCAGAAAGAGTTGGCAATTTCACTAGAAGAATTCGGTGAACACAGATTTCCACTCTTAATTAAAAAAAGGGAAGGGGAACAAATAAAGAAAACTTAGTAGCACCCCATACTCATAGAAAATGATTTTCTACATCTTATGAAGAAAAAATATTGTATAAAAGAAGTGAAAAAACTTCTGAATCCAATACACATTTAGCAGCTATTATACACCTCTGCACTTCGCAAATTTTAACAAGCATGACTCGTTTGTGGCATCACATTGACTTGCTTTACTCTAATGGAATCTACATGATGTAGAGCTATAAATTAAAGTATTCCCTTTTCTAATATCTTATACTTCTAGATGGGGGAGTTCATACACTTCAAACACAGATAATAAAGCAGGCAAATTTTTTGAATTCCAGCGTCACCTTCAACAAAATATTTTCATGAAAACTTGGTTAAGAAATAAGAAGCATGCCAAACACGAGGGAAGTGATGGTGCGAGGATTTTATACATGTGGAATCATTTTCCTATTTTTTGTTTGATAAAGGTATCAGTGTCAGATAATTTCTCTAGCACAAAGGCTGTGCTGATAGCCAACTTTACTGCTTACAAAAAAGATACACATCCTAAGAGTAAATCTTTGTTCTTCTCACAAAGATTCTATAAAGCCTAACAGAGGTTCTATGTCATTTACAAAATCTCTTTACACCAAAACTAAGACAAATACAAGTGGATTCAAATGATACAAGAATTTCATTGTTCAGATTTGAACTTGTAAACTGAAGCAACTTTAAACCCCCTTTACAACTACACTAGAATTTTCCCCTTGACCTAGGATTCAACCATTTATATATTAAAAAAAAAGTCATTTTGGTCCTATTCACACAGTATAATTTTTTGACGACGGGGATTCAATTAAGCCCCTTCCTTCTTACAAGTTCCTCCACTGCATGAGGCAACATGTTGTAGGCTATTTACATGTTTAATCTCTAAGTTAAGGAAATCAGTTCCATCAAGGCAATCAAATGATTACTAATAGGTTGTATTAAGCAACATAAATGATATTTCAATTTTCATATTACCAAACAAAGAGTAAGATTCAGATGAATAACTTTGGCCTCCACTAGGAACAAATAACCTCAATCTACAATCTAATTTGCAACGAAAATTTGCTGGAACAGAATCAAACGTGACTGTTCAGGAAAATGCAGTTCCTGTCGGGATGATTATTTAATCCTTATACCTTGTTCTCATTTATATGCATTTTACTTGGACTCGGAACAGATGATATACAATTAAGGACAAGAGGGCAACCACTTATCAGACATATGAATGAAGAAGGCAGAAAATAATAAAAAGGGTGCCTGATATTTATTGACAAAGCAGCAAAATGGTAAGTGTAGGGGGGATGAAGTGTAAAGGAATTGTAGTATGCAGAAACAAGCATGTGAAATTAGAAATGCCACTCCGGATAGATGCACTTACAATGAACAAAAACTTTGTCAGGAAACCTCCGAATAAATTGCTCAGCACCAAACTTCCAGTCTGCGGTGCTGTTGAAATATATGGATTACAAAACCAAGGTATAAGTACCTTTGCTTTCAGTGAAAACCAGAGAACCAATAGAAAATTGTTTTACACAGTATGAATTCAAACTGCCAGCAACTAAGCATTCCAAGTGAAAATAACCCCTCCCCAACTAGAGAAAAACTAATGAACACAGCACACAGTCTAAAAGCAGTTTTTTTATTGGCATGGAAATTTTTGTATGGTTGCAAAATTTGCATGGATGAATATGATCTAGTCAATCAATTATGCATAACAGGTTCTGAAAATTTCCTAGATAATGAAGCAATTCAAACCACTCCAATAAGTGCATAGGAAAATATCTAAAATAACAACTACTCTCTCGGTTTCAATGTACTTGTTTTACTTCCCTTTTTAGTCTGTTTCAAAAAGAATGTCTCTTTCTCTTTATGGAATCTCTTCAATTTCAACTTTCCACATCACATGTAAAACACCACAAAATTAAAGAACATTTTGGTACATTTTACGTATCTTTAATCAAAACCAGATAAACAAATTGAAACGGAGAGAGTATTAACAAGACCTAAACAAATATCCTCCATTTCCATAGGACTAGAGAAACTAAAATATGAAGAGACTAATTTACGAATCTCAAAAATCACTATCAAACAGTAGACCTAAGATCAAAATCCCCATTTCCCCTTATCATAATACTTCAATTTCATCATCAACAACAAAATAAACAACTTCAACTTCGATATTCCACAAATGAATGGCACAGTCGAACAGACGAACAGGAATACAAAATTCATATACACACACCTTCCTAGAATACCGTGTACCATAATTACAAGATGATCAGCAGAGGAAGCATCGGATTTATCGCAACTGAACACATCTTCGCCGCCATTAATGGTTTCCGATGAACATACTCCTCCTCTTCCGTTCACTACTTTTCCGTTTTCCATTTCGTATTTCTCAGTTCCGATAACTGAATTTAGGGAAAGATCAAGTTAGGGGGAAAATGATCGGAAATTAGGTACTTCGTCGGAGTTAGGTTAACCGCTTTGAAGAAAGCCGGAGAGGAGAGAAGCTACCGGAGTTAAAGTGGTTAATTAAGGAAAATCACAACGTGGCGGGTAATGCGTCCTAACTGACCCTCAAAGGGCTTGAACTTTTTTAATTTTATTTGCTTGTTTCGATGTTTGGTATATGTATTTGATTAATTCCCTATCAATTTTTTTTTCCATATACATAGGTCGAATTTGAGACCTAGATTAAAAGATTTGAAATTCTTATACTTATTTTGCACATATTTAATTTTGTTGTTTTGTTTTTTTAGTATTCGTATTTAGTTAAGCAATTTAATAAGAAATATATTACGTATGAAATAAAATATTAGTAATAATTATTAATAATGTCATGCATATAGTAAATATCAAGTATATGTTTAAATAGTGTCATTAGTTAGGGTCATAACGTCATGAGGAAATACATTACTTTTTTTTTAATAGGCACAAATTAATTTTTGTATACTCTTGTTTATGACAATTAATTAAGATTTAAACGTCAAATATCAATATACATAAATAACAACATCTTATTATACAAATGATGAAATGTTGTCACTATAAAGAGGTTTGACTGAATATTAAGACATTCAAACGTGACAATTAAGCACTCCAATTATGAAGTGCAGATACCTCAATCTGATATCAATTGATAACTAAATACTTCTATTCGTTTTCATTGTATTTTGTGGACACTCGACGCATATATAACACGTAAATTTTGGAAGTATCTAGTATAATTATTATATACATTGAAGTGTTTAATTGATATAGTGAAGATAAATTGAGGTGTTTAGATTTTGAAGTGTTCATATAAATTAACACAAATTTTCAAGTATATAGGCATACCTCAAATTCTTTATAACTAAAACTATCGAGAGATAACAAAATCCAATACATCACAAAGTTATAAAAGTATCGAGAGATAAAAGAACCCAATACATCACACGCTTACTTAGAAGAAATTGCCTTAGGCATTTTTTTTATGTCAACATGTCAAAACATTAAAAATATTGTCTATCACGTTTTAAGTGAAATATCATGATTATGAGTTAGATTAAGTTTATCTAAGATATGTTTGTTCTCCAACATTTGAATGTTAACGAAGACATTAAGTGTTGGTGGACGTTGATTTGACATGAGGCAACAATCGATGTCCTTCGTGAGTTATCAGGTCTTGTGTATGTGTGGAATACATCACTAGTATAGTGTTTATGAGCAAAGATTTAGTTATTCATAAAACTTCATCGATGGAATACGAAATTTCACCTTCAATTTTCTATTGCTAATTTGATGAAGTGTAATAATTTAAGGATCAAATTCAATAATCCTTGATTTTATTGCTTGGAATTAGCCCAATATTTCACATGCCACACTAGCATTTGTAAAAATCTGTTAAACATTTTTCATTCGTTATATTTAAGCATCAAAAGATTATCAGTTAAGTGATAAGTGAAATGTCAAGATTGAACTCCTGAGATGATAGAATTTTGATTCATTTATTTTGTGTAGTGTCCTATTGTATCAAGAATTTAAATGTACCACTTGATGTTTATAGCAAACAATACAAATTTATCAAGATTAAGAGACGATACAAATTTGCCGAGATTAACAGATAAATTAAGGAAAAAAATGTATTAATAAATTATGATATAATGCTAATAATTATGTGAATACACATGTCATGTTATCATTTGATAGGTCTTAACATTAGATACTAATAAGTTTTTAGTGAATATGAAATTATTACTAAATAGGATTGTGATTATTTTTAAAAATCACTTCGAATTTATGCTAGGACGCTCGATTATAGAAGTCATTCATCTCGTGAGAAGATTGATGGAGCAGTATAGGGGAGGGGGAATAAGGACTTACATATGTTAATCGGCCTAGAAAAGGCTTATGACAAAGTCTCAGGAGGTTCTATAGAGATGCTTGGAGGCTAGAGGTGTACATGTGACGCACACTAGGTCAATTAAGAACATGTATGATAAAGTTAAGACCTGAATAGGAATAGTGGGAGGAGACTTAGAGTACTTTCCTGTGTTGATGAGGTTGCACCAGGAATCAACCCCAAGCTCGTTTTTATTTTCCTTGGTGATAGTGTATGTCATTTGCGGATAAAGTAGTTTTGATTGACAAGACTCACGAAGGAGTTAGTGCTAAGTTGGAGGTTTGGAGACAGATCCTAGAGTCTAAAGAAGAGAAAAAGATCAAAATTGTCCTTTTATCTTTAAGTTAAGAGTCAAAGTAATCTTTGTCTTTTCACATGAAACAATAATAGTCCTTCATATTTCAACAATTGGTACACTTTTGGTATTCTCTCAAACATTCATCTGTTTTTTTAACGGAAACATTTGTGCCCATGTGAGAAACCCTCATATGTGATAAATCATTACATTGTTTCCACCTTTGCTAATCAGATCTTCCCCATCCCTAATTTAATAACTTTGATTCTCATATTAGACAAACAAAATAAAAATAAAGGAATTGATAATTGGATAAGTAAGACTCATTCAGTTGCATCATGTTGTTCTTGAAGAATCTCTTCTCACAAAATGTTTTTGTTCATCTCTCTTCAATGGAAGTCTTCGGTAAAAGTAAAATTCCTTGTTTTTATGAATGCAAAGCAGTTTTCATCATCATCAAGCCTTCAAATTTAAATAATATTTTACTGTTTTTTTTGTGTGTAGGTTTTGTGGAAATCTGGTTCTGTTTTTAGTGCAATTCTAGTGTTGTTTTAGTGCGAATTTGGTGCAATTTCGGGGTTTGTTTTGGTGCACTTTTGGTGTTGTTTTGGTGCTTTTCTACTGCTATTTTGGTGCAGTTTCAGTGCAATGAATTTGGTGCTGCTGTTTTGGCATAATTTTGGTAGTGTTTTGAGGCTTTTCTGGTGTAATTTTAGTATTTTTTTCGTGCAGTTTTTTGATACTTTTCTGCTACTGGTTTGGTCCAGTGTCGTTTAAGTGTGAATCTAGTGTTTTGGTGAAATTTTCATGTTGTTTTGGTGCACAAAAATGTTAAAAATTAGGAATATGTTTGAGAGAATACCAAAAGTGCACCAATTGTTGAAACATGAAGGACTATTAGTGCTCCATGCTAAAAGACAAGGATTACTTTGACTCTTAATTCAAAGATAAAGGACAAGTTTGATCTTCTTCTCGTCTAAAGAGTTTAGGTTTGAGCAGGACCAAGACTGAATACTTGGAGTGCAAGTTCAATGAAGTGACGCATGAGACTGACGTGGAAGTGATCGAAGTTTGATACACAAGTCATCCAAAAAAGAAGTAGTTTCAAGTATCTTAGATCTAATATCCAGGGAGATGAAGAGATAGATGAGAATGTCAATCACATTAGGATGGATGAAGTGGATGCTCAAATTCAGAGTCTTGAGTGATAAGAAGACATCACTTTACCTAAAGACAAGTTCTACAAAGTGGTGGTTAGATCAGAGATATTATATTGTGTGGGCTAGAGTATTGTTAGCCAATTAAGAACTCTCATATTTTAGAAGATGAATGTGGTGGAGATGAGGATGATATGATTACTAGGAAAGATAGAATTAAGAATGAGGATATCCTAGACAAGGTAGGAGTGACTTCGGTTGAAGACAAGATGTGGGAAGTGAGGTTAAGAGGATTCGTGCACGTGATGAAGAGATGCATGAATGCTTCAATGTGGTGGTGTGAGAGATTACTGACTATGGATGGATTCAAGAGAGGTAGAGGTTGATCGAAGAACATATCACTACTAAAAAAATTGAAACTGGCTACAAACTTTGTCTCTAGTTTGTCGTTATTTTGCTCATAACTAACGAAAATTCATCACTAAATATGATTAGCCACATATTTTGTTGTTTAGCTACAAAACTTATCCGTTGCTAAATCCTTTATAGTAATATATTGGAGAGAGGTGATTAGACATGATATGACATAGTTACAGCTTATCGAGAACATGAGATTAGATAGGAATGTGCGGAACTAGCAAATTCGGATAAAAGGTTTGTAGGTTGGAGTATGCCCATATTATTAGGTAGGAGTGCATTGTCTGTACCCAACTAGTAGTCATAGTGCTATGTCTGTAGTTTTTTGTTCTTTAATTTTGTGTTATCTATTGTTTCGTGTAGTTCGATTGTAATATTATTTAGTTGTAGTATTATTCTTCTACTATCTGTTGTTTTGTTACTACCTATTGTCTCTTATATATTTATTACGTCTTTTTCTAGTCTGTTTTTATCTTGAACCAAGGGTTTATCAGAAACAATCTATCTACCTCACCTGTGACGTAGAAGTAAAGTCTGCATCCACCATTAAAACGACAAATCTATCTACCTCACCTATTGTTGTTATTTCTATTTGAAAGGAAATGAGATTCCTAAAAAAAGGAGAGAGAGAGAGAGGGGACAACTGGATGAATCTGCACCATTAAAACGACAAGTCTTAACACAAATGTGGTAAGCCATGACTGATCCCTCTTTCTTTGTCTTTAAACACAACCTCTTAAATTTCAAAAGCAGAGTGAGTCTCTTTGCTCGTAGTTCCTCTCTATCTTAAATTTTATCTTGTTAATTTGGTAAAGTATAATTGTTTAGGTTAATTATTATAGATTTTTAGAACTACTTTTTCTTGTGATTTTGCTAATACTGTTAGAACCTACAATTTCTTTTTTCATTTGCTTCTAATTAAGTTTTTGATATATGTCTCAATTTAATATTTCATAACTCATCAACTAATTTTTTTTTCTTCTTCTTCTTGTTGTTTTAGTCTCTTTTGAATTTGCCTTTTTTTCAATCAAAACTTTTGAACTTCATGATTTTAACTTTTTTAAAAAAGTCTTGTTTTGTGTATTTTTTATTTTCTTAATGATAGCACTAATAATAATAATAATAATAATAATAACAACAACAACAACAACAACAACAACAACAACAACAACAATAATAATAATAATAAAATAAAAAAAATCATACAACTTTTTCCAAACTTCATTTGTATATTGTCGTTGTAATTACAAATTAATATGCAAATATTGT